CTTGCTTCTCCCTCTGCCCTTCCCCCTGCTCATACTCTCTCTCTTAAATAAATAAAGTCTTAAAAAATAAAATAAAAAAAATAGTGTTAGTCTCCAATTATAACAGTGGATGTGTCTGATTCTCCTTGCAATTCTATCAGTTTTTGCCTTAAATATTCTGTAGTCTTGTTTTCCACTATATAAATGATTAGGATTGCTATGTCTTCCCTGAGAATTGACTTCTTTATTATTATGCAGTTCTCCTTTTTATTTCTGTTAATTTTTCTTGCTCTGAAGTCTACTTTGTCTGAAATTAAATATAGCTACTCCATCTTCTTTTGATTAGTGTTAACAGTATATATTGCTCTATCTCTTTACCTTTAATCTATCTGTGTCTTTACATTTAAATTGGGTTTCTTGTAGATGATTTTTTTTAAATGTGTATTTTATTATTATTTAGGCATATGGCAAGGCCAACAGATTAGGACACTACTGCCATTGAAAAGATAGCTTGTTATACTCACAGATCTCAAGAGGAGGGGACATTGTATGCTGTGGCTACACAGAGAAGCGCCAGGGTTGGTCGGGAGGCAGAAAGAATGAGGGGAAAATGTGACCAAGACCCTTTGTTGTAGTTTCTGTTAGGAGAATGGGAGAACCCAATCTAAACATACAGGTACTTAAAAGTAGAGACCTTTCTGAGCTGTGTTCATAGAGAGATGTAATAACAGAAGAAGGTTGGAGAGATGTAATGATGTTGCCTTTCAAGAAGGGTGTAGGTGGCCCCCAGAAGTTGAAAAAAATAAGGAAATGAATTCTCTAGAGCCTCCAGAAAGGAACATAATCCTAATTAACTTTTTGGTTTTAGCCCAGTGAGACCTGGGTCAGACCTCTAACCTACTAAACTCCAAAATAATAAATGTGCATGGTTTTAATCCACTTAAGTTTTTGGTAGCTTATTTTAGCATTAAAAAAAAAATTAACACAGTGGTGTAGCAATCCTAAAAACAATAATCAGATCAGACCTCTGTCTGAAGACTAATAATCTTATTTCAATTTGAATAACAATGTACAGAGATATAAATTACCTATATCATTGCTTGATAATGAGGTTATCATTGCTTACCTTCTGATAAACAGTACATTTTTGAGTGGTTAAGAATTCCAAAATGAGATAATATATGTAAATCTTCCATGTGCTTGGTACATAAAAGATATTCAATAAGTGTCTATTGAAGTTGTTGAATATTGGAAGAGAACAAATAGTACTGACAAAATGTGATTTTTATAATACTTAGAATACATGAATCATCTAATAATATTTAAATTATTTTATCATTGCATCATGTTTGTATTTTACAGATAGTGAAGCTAGTTCTTTAATGGATATAGAAAATGTAATACTGACTAAAATCCATGATGATGAAGAAGATCACTCAGAGTCAATAATGAAATCTGACAAGTTTCATCAGGATTTATTTTTTATGGAACGAGTTCTAATGGAAAATTTATTTCAGCCTAAACTTGCAGCTTATCGTCAGCTTCCTATTTTAAAAGGTATTTTTAAAAATCACATTTGGGAATGCACGGGTGGCTCAGGCAGTTAAGTGTCTGTCTTTGGCTCATGATCCCAGGGTCCTGGGATCAAGTCCCACATCGGGCTCCTTGTTCAGCAGGAAGCCTGCTTCTCCCTCTGCTTGTACTCAAGCACGCTCTCTGTCTCTCTGACAAATAAATAAATCTTTTAAAAAAATCACATTTTGATAAGTTCAAATAATTAAAAGAATTAAATGGAGTTATTATTTCTAAATGTAACCTCCAGACTGGGTTATCACTTATCAAGCTTTTAGCATTAAACATCCAAGTAACACTAGAGTTCAAACTACAGAGCCCACAAAAAGAGGTAGTCCCTTAGATTAAAATCTTCATAAGCTTCTGTGACTGTTTTCTCTCTCTTGCCCCTGCATTGAATTATTTTCTCATATTTAAAGCCCCTCTCCATTGCCATTGACACCTTCCAGGTTCTGGTGCTTATTACCTTTCCTTAATTTTATTGCAAGGGCATTCTTCCTGTTCTTATTGCTACAAATCCCATCTCATATGTTCACAGAATATTTTGAAAGACTTTAGAAATTAACTCAACCTTTCAATTTTTGAATGAAGAAGAGGAAGCACATAGAAATTTTCCAAGTTTAGAGTCTATGACAAAGCTAGGCATTCAAACAAGTTCTTTTTATCTCATTCCAATTCTCTTTCCACTCTACTATCCTGGTGTGCTGATGTATCCTATACATGGCTTTGAACATGGTGGCACTTAACTGTTAAAAAACCTTCAGTAACTTCCCATTGCCTAGAATAAATTACAAATCCTAAGATTTTCCTTGTGCTATTTTCCAGTTAAACCTTACCCCCCATAAACAGGCATTTAATCTGGTATTTCTCATCATAGATTAATTGTTTTGGTATATCGTGTAAGTGGGCTCATATAGTAAGTACAGTTGATCCCTGAACAAGGCAGGGCTTAGGGATGATGATAGCACAGTTGGAACTCCAAGTATAACTTTTGATTCCCCCAAAACTTATCTACTAACAGCCTACTATTGATCAGAAGCCTTACAAGAGCATAAACAGTCAGTTAACACACATTTTGTAGGTTATATGTATTATGTACTATATTCTTACAATAAAGCAACCTAGAGAAAAGAAAATGTTACTAAGAAAATCATAAGGAAAAGAAAATACGTTTACAGTTTTGTACATACACTAGCCTGGGCCAGGGGCAGCGGGAAAGGCTGGTCCCAGAATGACAAACTTCTGCAGTCTGGTGGCCTCAGCTCAACAACAGCAGCTGCTGGGTGGGCCCATGGGTGGTAAAAGCTGTCTAGAGGCACAATAGAGCTTTACCACTGCCTGGAATCGTATACCAGGTGTACCACCTGAGGTGGCCATTTCAGCTGCAGCCAAACAGGAGTACACTTCTCTCTCTCTCTTTTTTTCTTTTTAAAATGCCTTTATTACAAATTTAAAATCTAGGGAAGCTCCTTTCCCCCCTACCTAAAGAGTTCATTAATATAGACATTGGAGCAAGTTCTTCATTTAAAAATATCATTTATGAATTGGTAAAAGATGATATCCATGGGCACCAGTCCAGCTTCTACTAGGCAGTGCAATCCTCAGTCACCATGCCAAGGTCAGCAAGGTTGCCTCACCATCCAGAATATATAGGTTGATTCCTGCCCCAAAAGACACTTGTGGATGAGTCCCCACATTTTCCATTTGAGGTGATGTTGACTTTTCCTGTCCCACTGGCCCTTGGGCTGTTGCCCACGTTTACTACTGTTATTCTTTTTCTCTTTTTGCACAAAGGTGAATACAGACTTTCTTTGAATATAGCAGGATACTGGGAGATAACCAGTCATACATATTTAAATTTGCCGGCACATAAGTGATTGAACTTTCGATGAGAGTACCCCATGGGCACTCTTCGACTCTGATTCCACAAGAAGAGAGAGGATAAAGGAACTCAAAGAAATCCAGCATCCCTCCAGCTACAGGACAGCCAGTTCCCAAATAGATTTCATAATGCTGGGGTTTCTGGTAATACAGATAAGGCTTTTGTTTAATTCTGACCTGAAGCCTGTGCTAGTTACAGATTACAGACACAGCCACCAGAATCTGCACTAGGCCTGCAACAGGACCAAGGCCCCTGGCTCCCCTGAAGCAACTCCGGAGGCCAGTGGGTGGAGGACTCTGGGGGACATGGGGCTCCCTGCACAATGCCATCACTGCCCTCTGGGTGTGTTCTGCTTTAGCTCAACTTTCTGCTTGCTAGCCCTTGATGCACCACCTGGCCACCCTATCCTCACTTATGGCGACCTGCAGACCTTTCCTCAGTATGTTCCCCGGGCACTCATGTAGCAAGTGCTGCCTCTGTGCCAGTTGCCTTCCATACCATCTTTGGAGAGTGGGGTGGACAGTTGTAAATAAATGCCTGTGGCTTTTGCTGTTAACTCTTTTAAAAAAATCCTACATATAAGTGGACCCATGCAGTTCAAACCTGTGTTGTTCCAGGGCCACTTGTATTCTTTTGTGTCTGGCTTCTTTCACTCAACAGTGTTTTTGAGATTCATCAAGGCTGATGTGTGATAAGTGGTTCATTTTTTTCCCTGAGTACTGTTCCATTTTATGAATATATCATAATTATTTGAATATTCATTCCACCTGTTGATGGACACCTGGACTGTTTCCAGTTTGGGGTTTTTATGATAAAGCTGCTATGGTCATTTTTGTGTCTTTTTGTGGGCATATGTTTTAATTTCTCTTGGGAAAATACCTAGAAGTGGAATCTTGAGTCATTGGAAAGATGCATTTGTTTAACTTTTTTAGAAATTGCAAAATACCTTTCCAAAGTACTTGTCCCATCTTACACTGCCACAAGCAATGTACAAGATTACCAGTTGCTCTACATTCTTGGTAACAGCTGATGTTGGCAGTCCTTTTAATGTTGTCCTAAAGACTAATCATGTTGAATACTTATTCATGTGCTTTTTTTGGTCACTCATATTTCTTCTTTTATGTAATGTTTGGTCAAGTCCTTTGCCATTTTATTGAATTACCTTTTCTTTTTTAAAATCAAGTTGTAGGAGCTTATTTTTATATATTCTGGAACAAGCTCTTTGAAAAATACATGCATTACAACTATTAAGTCTAAGTCAATGACTTACCAATATATTTTTCTTTTGATAGCAGAAGTTTTTAATTTTAATGAAGTTGTACCTATCAGTTTTTTCTTTTGTAGTTAATGTTTTCCATGTCTTCTCTAAGATATCTTTGCCTGCCCCAAGATTGCAAATATCTTTGTCTTGTTCCTAAACTTAAGGAAAAGTATTCAATATTTTGTCATTAAATATGATGTTAGGTGTAATTTTTTGTAGATACCTTTTGTTGGTTTGAGGAAATTTCCCTCTCTTTCTAGTTTTCTAAACATTTTTAAAGATAAATGGGTGTTGAATTTTGTCTAGGATACCCAGGATGGCCAACACAATATTGAAGGAGAAGAACAAAGCTGGAGGACCCACACTACCTGACTTCAAGACTTATAAAGGCTATAGTAGTCAAGGCAGTGTGGTACCTGCAAAAGAATAGACACATAGATCAGCAGAACAGAATAGAGAGCCCCAAAATAGATCCACATAATTATAGTCAACTGATCTTTGGCAAAAGAGGAAAGGCAATACAATGGAGAAAAGGTAGTCTTTTCAACCAGTGGTATTGAAGCAACTGGTCATTTACATGCAAAATAAAGAATCCAGACACGGACCTTATATTATTCACAAAAATTAACCCAAAAAAAGTCATAGACTTCAATGTAAGATGCAAAACTACAGAACTCCTAGAAGTCAACATAGGAGAAAATCTAAATGATCTTAGAGTATGGCAATGACTTTGGAGATTTAACACCAAAGGCATGATAAACTTCTCCGCTGTAAAAGGCATTGTTAGGAGAATGAGAAGTTAAGTCACAGACTGGAGAAAATATTTGCAAAAGACATACCTGTTAAAGGACTCATCCAAAATATACAAGTATTTCTTAAAACTCAATAATAAAAAACAACATGATCAAAAAATGGGCAAAAGACCTTAACAGACACTCCCCCCCCCAAAAAAATATACACATGGCAAATGAGCATATAAAAAGATGCTCAACATCATATCTCATTAGGGAATTGTAAACTAAAACAACAATGAGATACCACTACACACCTACTAGAATGATGAAAATCCAAAACACTGACACCACCAATACTGGCAAAGATATGGAACAAGAACTCTCATTCAATGCTTGTGGGATTGCACAATGAATGGTTCAGCCACTTTGGAAGACAGTTTGGCAGTTTCTTACAAAACTAAACATACTGTTACCATATGGTCCATAATCATACTCCTTAGTATTTACCCAATGTGGTTGAGTACTTATATACTCACAAAAACCTGCACACAAATGGTTATAGCAGTTTTATTGATAACTGCCAAAACTTGGAAGTAACCAAGATCTCCTTCAGTAGATGAATGGATAAATAAATCATGGCATATCTGGACAATGCAATATTATTCAGCACAAAAAAGAAATAAATTTTCAAGCCATGAATGGATGGGGAGAAAACTTAAATGCATATTACTAAATGAAAGAAGCCAGTCTAAAAAGGCAATTATATAGTATGGTTCCAAATGTATGACATTCTGGAAAAGACAAAAATATGGAGACAGTAAAAAGATCATTGGTTGCCAGGGAATTGAGGGCTGGGAGGAATGAATAGGCAGAGCACATAAGATTTTTAGAGCAGTGAAACTATTCTCTATGATACTATAATGGTGAGTACATGTCATTGTACCTTTGTACAAATGCTTAGAATGTGCACAGCAGGAGTGAACCCTAATGTAAACTATGGAGTTTGGGTGATAATGATTTGTCATTGTGGGTTCACTGATTATAACAAATGTATCACTGGTGCAGGATGATGATTCTGAGGGAGGCTGTGCATATATCTGGGTTTGAGTGTAGAGGAACTCTCTCTACTTTAAGTTCAATTTTTCTGTGAACCTAAAACTTCTCTAAAAAAGTCTATTAAAGAAAAAGCTATTAACATATACTTAAGGATTTAAAGGGAAATAAGAATATAATGAAAGCTACATACAGAACCAAATGGAACTTCTAGAATTGAAAAATATAATACTTGAAAAGTTCACTGGATGGTCTTATCAGAATACTAAAAACTGCAGAAGATCAGTATCAGTGAGCTTAAAGACAAAGCAATAGGAACATTCCAAACTGAAGTACAGAGAGAAATAAGGCTTAAAAAAAAAAGAAAGAAAAAAGAGCCTCAGTGACCTGTGTCACAAGGTCATATGACTTAACACACATGAAATTGGGATTGTAGTAGTGGAAAAGAGGAGGAGAAGCAGAAAAATATTTGAAGAAAGGGTAGCTAAAAATTTTCCATACTTGAAAAAAATCTTAGAACAATTATAAGAAGCTCAATGAAACCTAAACAAGATAAACACAATGAAAACCACATTGAGGCACACCATAAGTAATATGTCAAAAAATCTTAAAAGTTGCCAGAGAAAATACATGACATTTGGGGAATAAAGCTAATAATGACCTTATTTCTCATCAGAAGCCAGAAGACAATGCAATGACATTTTTACTGTGCTAAAAAATTCTACACCTAGAGAAAATATCCAGAAATCGAGGTGAAATAAAAGCATGTTCTGACAAAGAAAAGCTTAGAGAATTCATTGCCAGCAGACAAGCATTGCAAGAAATGTTAAAGGAAGTCCTTCAGACTGATAAAAAATAATAACAGAAATTAGGATCTACACAAACTAATGGAGTGCTAGAATTGGAAAATGTGAGTGAAAGTAAGAGACATTTCTTACTATTTAAAATTTTTTAAATTTTTTCTTAAAGATAATTAAATTGTCAAAATGATCACAAATTTTATATGGCAAAGCAAGCGAACTGGAATAACAAATTCAATTTTGAAACAGAAGAATAAAATCGAAGGACTTACCCTATCTGATCACAAGCAATTTGCTATAAAGCTACAGTAATGTAGGAAATGTGGTATTTGTCAAAGGGCAGACATACAGATGGATGGGATAGAATAGTGTGTGAGTCCAGAAATAAACACAGACCTATATAGTCACTTGATTTTGACAAATATGCCAAGGTGAATTAATTTAAAAAGACTGATCTTTTCATAAATGGTGCTGAAACTATTGGACATCCATATGAGGGGAAAAAAATGAACCTCAACCCCCATGTCATATCATACATATAAATTAACTCAGAATGGGCTATAGATTTAAATATAAAATTAAAACTAAAAAGTTCTAGAAGAAGACAAAAGAGAAAATGTTTGTGATCTTAGCATAAGAAAAGATTATTTAATACATAAAAATCCCAAGACATGAAAGAAAAAAATTGATAAGGCTTTCACGGTAGTTAAAATGTCTGCTCTTTGAATAACGCTGTTAAGGAAAAAAAATGCAAGTAACAGTCTAGAAGAATGTGTTTACAATATACATCTGTCCAAAGACATAAATTAGGAATATGTAAAAGACACATACAGCCTATAAAAAATAGACAGTCTAATAAAAAGTAGGCAAAAGATTTGAACAGAAATTTCACTAAAAATATACATGAATGATCAATAGACACCTTAAAAGGTACTAAACATAATTTGTTGTCAAGGAAATGCAAGTTGAAACCATAGCAAAATGCCACTATACACTAGTTGGGATGGCTAAAATTAAAAAGACTGACAACACCAAGCAAGAATATGGAGTAACTGGGTTTTTTAAATATTGTTGCGGGAGTATAAAATTGTACAACCATGTTGGAAGTCTGCTGGGAAGTTTCTTAAAAAGTTAAGTATAGATCCACCCAATCATCCAATAATCCTGTCCCTGGGTATTCACCCAAGAAAAGAAAACATATGTCTGCAAAAAACACTTATGTAAGAATGCTCATAGCAACTATATTCATAATAGCCCCAAACCAGGAAACAGCCCAGATATCCATCAACAGGTCAATGCATAAACAAATGATGGAGCACAACTCAGCAATAAAAATGAACTACTTACATACATAATAACCTTGATGGATCTCAAAAACATTGTTGAGTGAAAGAAGCCAGACACAAAAGAATACATACCAACAAACCCATTTATGTGATATGCTATCACAAACAAAACTAATCTGAGGTGATAGAAATCAAACCAGTGCTTGGCTGTGGTGGGCTGAGCTTGACTGGAAAGTAGCATGAGGAAACTTTTTTGGTTGATGGATATGTTTTCTATCTTGGCTGGTGTGTTGGTTACATTGGTGTGTCTATTTATCAAAATGCATTAAACTATACAGCTAAAATCTATGCATATCAATGAATTTTCTCACAATTAAAAAATGCTGCAGTATTTCTCTCTCTCCTTCCTTCCTTCCTTCCTTAGTTCCTTCCTTCCTTCCTTCCTTCCTTCCTTCTTGTTTGCTAATATTAGACCAAAATGTGGTTTCCACTAAATGAAGTTGAAATGTCAGAACTACTTTGGGACACTATAGAGAAAGGTATCCAAAGGCTTAGGGAGATGGGAATGTTAGGGTGGATTTATCAGATGTTAAGTGGATTTAGCAGAAATCAGAGTAGTCTGAACTCACAGAAACCCATGGCATTGGCTAGTTGATCATCATGTCCCTAGAAGAGAAATAGGTAGGTGCTGTATTGGTTTAATAGGGCTGCCATAACAAAATACCATAAACTGGGTGGCTTAAACAACAGAAATTTACTTTCTCATAATTCTGGAGACTGGAAGCCCACAATTGAGGTGTGAACAGAGTTGGTTTCCTCTGAGGCCTCTCTTCTTGGCTTGCAGATGGCTACCCTCTTGGAGTCTCTTTACATGGTTTTTTCTCTGTGCATGTGCATCCCTTGTGTCTCTTGATGTGTCTAAATTTCCTTTTCTTATAAAGATAGCAGTCATATTTAATTAGGACCCAGAGTAATGACCTTGTTTTAACTTAATCACTTCTTTAAAGCCTTTGTCTCCATTACATTCTAAGGTACTGGGGATTAGGGCTTCAATATAAGAATTTTAGGGAGAGGGCGCCTGGGTGGCTCAGTTGGTTAAGCGACTGCCTTCAGCTCAGGTCATGATCCTGGAGTCCCAGGATCGAGTCCTGCATCGGGCTACCTGCTCGGCGGGGAGTCTGCTTCTCCCTCTCCCGTTCCCCCCTCTTGTGCTTTTTCTCTCTCTCAAATAAATAAATAAAATCTTTAAAAAAAAAAAAAAAGAATTTTAGGGAGACACAGTTCAGCCAATAAAAGGTGGTCTCCTCCTAAATTCTTATATGATCTATATAAACAGAAGAGTCAAGTGAGCAGAAGTATAACTTGAAATACCAAAGCAAAGTCATAGCCCTTTAAGCAATTTCTAGATTTGAGTCAGTTTTCAGACCCAGAATTCCTTGAATAAAGGGGAGATATCCCACTATACTGTTGAAAATATATACTGTTAATATTTCTCTCAGCTTTCCCCGGAGGGACCTATAGTCTTTTATCAGGGTGATATGCATTGGGGAAAAGGAAACAATCAGAAATTTCAGGGATTATTGGACACTAGCTCTGAACAGACACTAACTTCACAAGACCCAAAACATCACTGTGGTCTATTAGCCAGATAAGGACTTAGAGAGGTCAGGTAATCAATGGAATTTTAGCTCAAGTCCATCTCCTAGTGGGTCTAGTGGGTCACTGAACCTATCCTGTAGTTATTTCCCCTGTTTCAGAATGTATACTTTGGAATAGAAATATTTAGCAACTGGCAGAATCCCTGTGTTTTACCCTTGACCTGTGGAGTGAGGGCTATTATGGTAGGAAATGGCTAAGTAGAAGCCACTAGGCCTGCCTCTACCTATGAAAATAGTAAACCAAAGCAATACCACATTTCTGGAGGGATTGTAGAGATTAATGCTACCATCAAGGACTTGAAAAATGCAGGAGTATTGACTCCCATCATATCCCCCATTCAACTCATCATTTTGCCTGCATAGAAAACACAGGATCTTGGGAAATAACGGTGGATTATTGTAAACTTAACCAAGTGTTGACTCCAATTGCAGTTGCTGTTCCAGATGTTGTTTCATTGCCAGAGCAAATTAACACATCCCCTGGTACCTGGTATGTAACTATTGACACAGAAAATGCCTTTTTTTCCCCAATACCTGTTGATAAAAACCACTGGAAACCATTTGCTTTCAGCTAGCCAGGCCAGCAATACACCTTCACTGCCCTACCTCAGAGTTGTATCAACTCTTCAGCTTTATGTCATAATTTAGTCTGCAGGTACTTTTTCCTTCAACAAAATATCACACTGGTCCATTACATTGATGATATTATGCTGATTGGAACTGGTGAACAAGAAGTAGACTTATTGGTAAGGCATTTGCATGCCCGAGGGTGAGAAATAAATCTGATAAAAATTTTTAGGGGCTTTCCACCTCAGTGAAATTTCCAACGGTCTGGTGGTATGGGGTATATCAAGATATACCTACCAAGGTGAAGGATAAGTTGCTTCATCTGGCCCCTCTTAGAACCAAAAAAAAAGTTACAATGCCTAGTAGACTTCTTTGTTCCTTGGAGGCAACATATTCCTCCTTTGGCCGTATGACTCCAGCTCATTTACTGAGTGACCTGAAAAGGTGCTAGCTTTGAGTGGGGCCCAGAACAACAGAGGATTCTACAGGTCCAGGCAGTCATTCAGAATGCCCTGTCACTTGGGCCCTATGTTCCAGCAGATTCAATGGTACTTGAAATGTCTCATAGATAGAGATGCTGTTTGGAGCCTTTGGGGGGCTCCTGCAGGTATAGAGGACAATAATCTCTTTTGTGATTTAATTTTAGAACCAGAACCTGAAGAACCTGAAGACTTTTTAGAAGGTGAAAAACTTGAACAAGAGACAGAGGAAGAGGTTAAGAAGGAAGAGGAAGAAGAAATAGAAATAGGTACAGAACAGTCAACAATACCAGCCAATTTGGAACGACTTTGGTCCTTTTCCTGTGACTTAACCAAAGGTCTTAATGTGAGCAGCCTTGCCTGGAATAAAACAAATCCTGTAAGTTATTGAACATTTTAACAATTCTATCTTTATCATGTAAAGGTGACTGTCAAGTACTAACGAAGATTTTTTTTTTCTCAGATTTTAGGCAAGGGATTTTAATTGACATAAACCAGAGTTTTAACATCCCTTTACAACAAGTTCATGTTTCAAAAAGTGGAAAATAAAAATAGTTATAAAATAATTTTTTTCTCCTTTAATATGAAAACATCATATTTTTATTTTAGGAGATGTACTTGGGACATGGTATTCTCTGAATCCATATCAGATACTGAAAATTAAACCAGAAGATAATATATAATCGATTTCAGATATATCAAACTCATGTACCCAATTTTTTAATTAATTTTGCTTTTAATATACTTTAACAATAAGTCTATATAATTTTTTTAATTTTTTAAATTAGTCACCATACAGTAGTATATCGTTAGTTTTTGATGTAGTGTTCCATGATTCATTGTTTGTGTATAACACCCAGTGCTCCATGTAATACATGCCCTCCTTAATACCCATCACCGAGCTAACCCATCCCCCCACTCCCCTCCCCTCTAGAACCCTCATTTTGTTTCTCAGAGTCCATAGTCTCTCATGGTTCGTCTCCCCCTCCGATTTCCCCCCTTCATTTTTCCCTTCCTTCTCCTAATGTCCTCT